GTGATTACAAATAGGATAGTATTGTCAAAAAACAGAGGCGTGAATGAGTGGGGTAGAACAGAGGAAGCAGAACCAACTCGAGGCACATTCAACTATCAAGTCTTTAATAAGGGGGCCAAAAACATACCCTGGAGGAAAGATAGCCTCTTTCACAAATGGTGCTGGCTAAACTGGCAGTTCATATGCAGAAGACTGAATCTAGACCCATATCTCACCATGTATTCAACTGAAATCAAAATGGATTAACGATCTAAATGTTTAAACAGAAACAATCTGCTGGAAGACAAAATTGGTAAAACTCTTGAAGACATAAGTATAGGCAGGAACGTTCTGAACCTAACCGTAATTGCATAAGAAATAATACCAAGAGTCAACAAATGGATCATATCAAATTAAAATGTTTCTGTACAGCAAAGGATATTACCAATGGACTGAAGAGACAACCTACAGAAAACAAAAGGATTGGTACGACAAAACCTTTTGTCAGAGAAAGAGGAAAACAGATAGAGAATAGATTTATTATAAAGATTTTGGCCATGCATCTATAAGACTGAGCCTCAAGATCTTCAGCTGGCAAGCTGCAGACCTGGGAGAGCCAAGCTTTAGGAAGAGGAACAGCTCTGTCCTGAAGGCTGGAAACCTCCACATGAAAGATGAAGGTTCAGTCTGAGCCCGGGCCAGAAAAGACCGATGTCCAGTAGAAGCAGTCAAAAAGAAGTTCTTCCTTCTTCCTTAGTCTCTTCTCTCTGTGAGACTTTTGAGGCTTTGGTATGATTAGCAGAGGTCTGTTCATATTAAGGAAGGTGCTGTATCTTGAGCATTCCCTTCAAAACTCAGGTGAATATTTAACTGCATTGTAACAGTATTAAGAGTTGGTTAGGCCACAACAGTGTTAAGTAATGAATTGAAGCCCCTACTGTGTGAGTGTAACAGTGGACTCCTAGGGACGGGGATACAGCTTAGCAGGACAGCGCCTACCTGGTAAGTGCAAGGTCCTGAGTTTGATTCCCAGTACCCAAAAAAAAAAAGAGTGGACTCCTGATAAAAGATGTGCTTGATACCACCCTTACCCCATCTGTCTCATGCCTGCTCACATGCCCTCTACTTTGTCTTGTAGGAAGGCCCTCGTGAGATAAGAGCACTGTGCTTATGGGCTCCATAGCCTCCAAAATTGTTAGCCAAAGGAGCTCCTGTTGTTCATAAATTACTTCAGCTGAAAATGAATGAAGAGGACAGTCTGCTTTACTTAGTATACTGATGCACGTGTTAATCTCGTTTATAATTACACCCAGAATAATGTTTGGCCAAATGTCTGGACGTTCTGTGGTCCAGTCAAGATGACACATAAAATTAACCATTGCAAACACACAAAGACTCAGAACAGAAGTTACTGGCACTTACATGTGGTATCATGTAAGGGAGGAAAAACAAAAAATGTAATGAGAGTGAGGATATAGGGAAAGTCTTAGTCTACCAAGCAGTAAAGGCCATATTCATGTTACATAATAATGAATTTTTGTAGATCTTAGAACAGGAGTTTGAGCATTATATTTCTTTTTTTTTTTTTTTGGTTTTTCTCTGGTACCGGGAACCGAACTCACGACCTTGCGCTTGCCAGGAAGGCGCTTTTGCTGCTGAGCTAAATCCCCAGCCCTCATTATATTTCTTTTACCAGTTAAGTCTAAGGATGCACAACAGATTGGAAACACTGCAGTTTACAAACTACTCAGTAAAAATTCCAAGAGGTGTGGATTGAGGTAAATACTATGGAAGTAGAGAGCACATTTTATGGCCTTGGGCAGATGAGAAGAAAATCAACAGAAGCTGGGGAAAGTGTTACGAAGTGGGGGGAAAATAGAATTTGAAAATTCATGTCATTGACAACAATGAGACAGTGAGAAGAAACTTATTTGTGGGATCAAAGATGTTAGATTTGAGATGATACATATGGTATACCTTGTAATACTCAGTCTTATCATAAAGTGGTTAAAATGCAAGCATGATGAGTTTTAATGGTATGTGATTTTTTTAACTTTTAAATAGTTGTTACAAGTGTACATTATTTGTTTACATTGAAGAATAGAAATTAATTTATCAGAAAAATTGAAATTTATAATGGAATCACTATTATGATAGAATAATGTCTTTCAGCAAAATTTTTTACTTAGTTTCAAGTAAACTTCGATGTGGTGATTAATCCCATACCCTTATAGTTTCTTAACTCCATATAGTTAAGAAAATTTGTATGCTTACTATAATAGTGACTAGGCTTAAAATACTGCTCTGCTCTGTAATTTTTTACACATTCTATAATACAATTAAATACATACTATTATTTGTAGTAAAAATTACATATGCGATTGCTATGTCATATTAGTTTAATTACTGCCAGAAATATTTGACTGGCTGAGATGAGTAATGACTTAGAACTTCCATTTATTTTATTTATTATGAAAATAAAATATTATTTATAATATAGAATCAGCTTTTCTTATTTTGAACCCAGGACCTCAAACATGGCCAGGCAAACCCTCTACCACTGAGCTACATCCAGAGCCCTTTAGAAATTTTTATTTTGATGCAAAGTCTCACTTAGCTGCCTCAACTGGTTTGGAATTTGTCATTCTCTTGTGTTGGCTTTCCAAGTAGATCTTTGTTTTCTTAACTCTGGGGGTCTTAGGAACCTAAGAGGTACTGATTGCCTATTTCTTGTATTGTTTTCAAATTAAATGCATTTCAGTCTTTAGCTCAGCACCTTGTGAATCTGGACTGCCAAACTGCTAAACTGTTATTTAAATTAGTGCTGTTTAGCGGGTCCCCCCCCCACACACACACACACACACACTACTCTTGCTAATAAGCATAGGCAAAAATTTGTAGAAGTAAACTAATAAGTAGTACATATATTAGTGTGGATTGCTTTAATTAACTAATAAAACCTCTCTCGTGCCTGACTAAAGTGAGTTTCTTTAGGGCTGGGTGGTCTGTGTGACGTAAAATAATGATCCTTTCAGTAACAAGGCCTGCGCACCATGCAGAGCCCAAGCCATGCTAGGGAGTGTAAGCAGCACTGAGGCCAGAGAAATAAGAAATATTCGTTGAAAGAAATAAGAAAATCAGGTAGATGAATAGCAAAGACAAAATAATCCTGCTACATGGGACACGGTTTTGAGAAGGTAATTTAAAATACTGCACTCTTCCATGCCTTCACTTTGATTGTTTTGATTCTTATAATTGTGTCTGTAAACTGACATTTTGGATTATTTATATGTAGTGTGGACAAATCATTGATTAATCGGGAAAACTAGTTATATATGTTAATTCTGATCATTTCTTGGCATGTGAGAAGTTACTGTGTCTATATAGTGTGTTTTCAGTTTTCATATTATCACCTGTTCTTTTTTTAAGAAAATAAAAAACAAAGAAAAATTTATATGACAATGCTGTCTCCTGTATCTAGAATATGTACCCTATATTCTTCACATTGATTGCATGTATTTTAGATTCTGATACATATGACTTTTTTTGAAAAGAAATATGTACACATATTTCCCTGGCACTTTTCCAGTTTAAAAAAATATATATTCATGATTATCTTTTTAAACACCTTTCCCCTCCCAAAAAATCTTTTGAAATGGTTCACAGTTAAATTTCTAGGGGGCTGGGGATTTAGCTCAGTGGCAAAGCGCCTGCTTGGCAAGCGCAAGGTCATGAGTTTGGTTCCCGGTACCGGAGAAAAGCCAAAAACAAACAAACAAAAAAATAAAATAAATAAATTTCTATATTTAGGTAGTGTTTGTTTAGATACCAACCACCAATATCCAGGAAATTCAGTGGTGAAGCTGACACATCAGGAGTTTATAGTCTGTTTTGTAGTCCATGTATTTACAGAAGGTTTGAAGCTTACTTAGCAAAATTACTTCAGCATTTAAGCAGAACTTCTTCAACACAAATGCACTATTTAATTTCATATAATTGTTAAGATAGCAATGTGTCACTTTTTAAAGCTTAGTTCTTAAGACCATGTGTTAGATTTATTTCTTTCAAAGAAGGATACATTGAAGAAGGATACAGCTTTTATATATAAATATTTTTATAATATTTCAGCTTGGATAGAGTTGGTTTGGTGCAATCAGCATGGTTTGATCAAATTTGGAAGAAGTTACAGCCACATTTTTGTAGTGTTTTCTCTAGTGTCTTTATTTTTTTCAGATGGAGTATTTTATGTTCCTTCCAACTAATCAAAATAAGAAACTGAGTTTGCCTTTGCCAAAAACTAGAACTATCATTTTTCACATTCTTTTATTTTCCAGGTCATTTTCAAGTAAGATTGTGTTTCTAAGACTTCTAAGTTCCTGAAAACTATGACTTTGAGGATATAAGGGCCCAAATGAACATTTCAGGGAGGAGCTAACTTTTTATACAACGTATTTTGTGTTGTGCATTCCAGATACTTAACTTTTGTGTGCTTGTGATTAGTGTGGAGAGAAATTAATGCTGTCCAGTATTATGATTTATGGACTGAATTGTGTACCCACTGAAGACTTGCCAAAATGAAAAGCATTTTTTTCCTTTGGATATTAGAAACAGCTACTGTTTTTGTTGATCTTTTAGAGTTCTGAATGGGCCTATTTCAAATCATACCAGCATGGGGGCTCAGATTAATAATATACTTATTCAACTAGTGATACTGAGTGAAACCATTGCTCACATGGCTATGATGGATAAAATTTCATAAAATTATTTTCAGATGCATTAATGCATTTGTAAAAGCTGTGTATGATTTTTCTTTTGTATGAAAGAAATCAAGGAATTCTGTTTATTGTATTAGATACAGGTGGGCACATAAGTTAATTTAATTGCTTTTTTTATATCTTAAAACATAGTTCATTTTGCTGGATCATTCCCAAAGGTGTTTAACTCAGTACATTTATCTCTTTGGAGACATCATGATTGTATGATGTTTAAGAAAAAAATCTCTAAATTTCCTTTATTGTTAGTTACAGCAAGCTGCTGAAGTTTCTCAGCTGAGGGGAGCAAGAGTAATATCTGCTGAAGATCTTCTGTTTTTGATGCGCAAAGATAAGGTAATTTAAAATAGTTTCATTATGTTAAAATACTAGGTCTAATGCTTAATTGAATTTAATAAGGAAACTTTTGTGTCCTTGTTATAGCTTTCAAATTGAAATCATAACTACTGGAGTTTTAGTCTTCATAGTTTATACAACAGAATTGGTTTGCTACAGTAGAATTGCTATTTTTGCAGGAACAATGACACTTAGTAAAACTGTACTAACAAATATTCCTCAATTACCCTTACATGTCTGTTTAGACATTTTCATTGCTGTATAATATTCTCTAATATTGACTGTATGCTCTACTATAAATGAGATGTACCTAGGTGGCATATTTATTTTTCTTCTCATTTTATACCTTAACAGTATCAGGATTACAATCTTTCCTGCACTAAATTTTTAAATAGAAAGTTTATTCTGTGATACTAGCTTAGAGGAAAAAGCAAAATCAATCAAAATGAATATATGAAAAGCATAAATACGTACCATAATATGTTTTTTTAACTCTTGGTTTTTAAACTGGTGCTTGTGTCTAATTTTGTCATAATTATTTTCCATAGGAGGTAGTTAAAAATATTCTACAATATTTTCCATGTCTTAGTTAATCATTTCTTTGTTTATATAAAGAATGTAAAGGGAAAAAATGTCTTCATCAAGAAGCTTATGGTCTTATTTATGGAATCTGATGATTTGAAGTTGAAGCAGCAGCTGAGACTTAACAGAATTTCAAGGTTGTGAGACTGAAGTTGTGCAAGTGGAAGGCTCTGCCTACATAAGGCAAGGCTCATAGCCCTGGAGAATGGGCCAAGTACAAGGAGAGGAACCGGGGTTCTGCTAGTTCAGGAATCAGAGTGAAGTGGCTTATAGCTCTGGGATAAATAAGAAGGAAGAAATGGAGAGAAAATGAAGAATAAGAATGTGCAGGATTTGGTGACTCTCTCAATACTTGGAGTGTCACACAGAAAGGGTGCTGTGAGGAGAAAGCCAGGGTGCTGTTGGCAGAGCAACAGGGGAATCTAAAAGACGCTTACTGCAGGCAGCCAGAGTACAGCAGGGTTGACATGAGGGCTCTGCGGAACATTGGCCAGAAGTAAAAACATTGGCACATACTGTACCCACATTAACACTTCTTTTTGCCCTTTTGGGGAAGTAAAAGATTAAAATCATACTGAAACCACAGGAATATACCCTGCTTGACAGTGCTTTCCTGTTGTCCAGAAGGACTCTTTGCCAGAAGATTTTTACCAAGAACATAGAATTTTATTTATACACTGACATGTTCCAGAAAGAATTTAAACAAGCTTACATAGGTAAAATATCAAACAAAATTAAAATACCAGATGGAATCCAAACGAGAGAAAAGAAGGGTAGCAAAAGACTTAAGGTCAGGCATGTTTTTTGTCTTAATACAAGTAGTTCCAGTCTATATTCAACCAGTATTTATTGGCTGCTGTGTTTCACATATTGCGTAAAGCAAGCATGACCTAGTTTCATGAATTTCTCACAGTAGGCATGGTAGGTATGTACTTTTCTTACTGTGCAAGTAAAAACAGATTCAAGCATATATACTACTCCTGCCTGTGCTGAGCTTCAGTTGTGAGACTACTTCGGTCTCCCTCTGTGTAAAAAGATGCTCCCTCTGAATAAAAAGATGATTAGATCTGTGTGCATCTCAAAGCTATTGGGGATGTCAGGTGATGCACATGTAAAGAGTTTGTAAAATGCACTAGGATTCAGATGTTGTTGGGAATCTTTGGTTGCATCCCAAGGCCCTGGGTCCCATCTCAGTACTCAAAATGGGGGAGGGGAAATCTTAAATCTGAAAGTCAGGCACCAGTGATAATACCCACTAAGTGTGATCACAGAAACAGCCTCAAAGTATTATCAGTTATTTTTTAAAGTTAACTAGTATTTTTTTACGTAAATATAAAGAATAGCATCCTGAAGACCTAACTATCATTCATAGGCTATGTGTTTCCCAAAAATAGGTTTCTCAGGTTACAAAATAATGAAAAGATTTTCAAGGGAGTAGACAAACAATGTTTGTAACTCAATTCTTAAAATTTTGTTTTAAAAACATAAAAATTCAACAACATTAGCACATTTAGTAGGGGGAATGTGGTATTTATCACAGCCTCAAAAAAGAACTTAAAACTTTTATACACACAAAGAAGTAATTATTGTGACTCTGGAACTCTGGATACTTGCAAATTAGAAGTACTTGTTTTTTAGCTCTTATGTTTAATTTGATAGTCACATTTTTATTCTGTAGTATTATGCTATATACTGCTATGTTATCACTAGTGATCTTGTAATACTAATTTCTTAAATGTAGTTATCATAATAGTCTTTATTTTGTGAAAGTGAATATGCATATAAATGGTCTTATTTATGTTTTTATAGAAAAAACTTAGAAGACTACTGAAATACATGTTCATGCGAGACTACAAATCAAAGATTATCAAAGGCATAGATGAGGATGAGCTTCTAGAAGGTAATAGAAACAAAATGGTAAAAACTAAAACACAATACTTTATGATCCATGTGTGTGGATGACATGTTTTTTTATAATGTAAGGGTAGCTATTCCCATCAGAATAGAATACTATATATGTGCTTCTTCTAAATAGCATAGTTTGAAAATTATGCAAAAATGTATTTAGCTGGAAGTTTAATCTTCCATTTAACATGACTTGATAAACAAGTCTGTCTTTGCAGTTTTTAGTAGTGTGTATTACTTTATATCAAACAATCATGAAAGTAAGAGAACCATGCAGATTAAGTAAAATTGATGTTTGCAGATGTGCTCTTCTCATGGTGGATGGAGGGAGTCAGAATCATGCATTTTTGAAATTGACACAGGTTTTTGTTAATTTATTATAAGTACCTGGTAAGTTTTATAATTCAGAGTCACCTCATTCTGGTCTGTTAGCCCTGTGCTGTTTAAAATCTGACAAAAAGCATAACACAGAAAATTCTCCTTCTGTGATCCTCTAAACAGAAGTGCTCATTGTAGAATATTTAGAAAAATATTAATGTTGCAAAATCAAACAGGGTTAAGCTGAAAATAGATAAGTACTAAGTAATATTTACTGAATCAAAATAAATTCACAGAGCTTAAATTAGAAATAATTTATTTAGAAATGTTTTTGGAAATAACTTGTGTTATTTAGAAATATTTTTGGAAATAACTCATGTTTTTTATTGACTGTAGTTACTGTTTTAGTGGTACCTGTTCCTAATTAGATAGGTGGATAAATTAGGTAACTAAAAAAAAAAACCTACCAGATAAAGAATTTCAGAAAACTTAACCCAACAAACTTTGAAAGTAAACCGTTTATTTTCATTTACCATCAACAAATCACTAGAAATAGCCTTGTACACCCCCCCCCGTGTTTTTCTGATCACCTATATTACATACTATCACCTATTTAATATTCTGATAGTTCTTGTAGAATTTAATTCCTCAAATATATTCAGCTGATGATTTTTTTTTTTTTTTTTTTTTTTTTTTTTTTTTTTTTTTTTCCGGTACTGGGAATTGAACTCACAACCTCACACTTGCCAGGCAGGCGCTGTGCCGCTGAGCTAAACCCCCAGCCCTCAGCTGATGATTTTATATATTTCCTTTTATGGAGTCCTTCAGGAATACAGGCTTGTAGGGAAAAAATACCTGGATTCCAGTCAATCCCAGTTCTCTACTTTTTCTGTGTATGACTAGACAGTTTTCTCATCTCTAAAAGGGAAATTATGCCACTGAACACATGGAATTCATATAGAGTTAAGCATTTGGTAACATGTCTGCCACTGAATAGGTTAGACCTGTTAATATTGTGCTGTGAATGTCTAAAAACTCAATTCGGAAATGTTATTTTTCATTTGTGCTAATATCAGCACACTAGTTAGATCCCCAAGCCTTTTTTATTTCAAATCTTTCTATTTTATCTTCATTTATAAGCTGTAAATTTGCATATCTTCTAAAAAGAATTAAAATACATGAGACAGAAAGTATAAGACAAAATATTCAGGTAAAAAACATCTAAGCCTGAGATAGGATTGCCACCCTGGCTCAGGTGGGCATTCTGGATGTGAGCAATTCAGAGGAGGCTGCTGCCTCTGAAATACTAGCCAAGTGCAAAAGAGTAGATATCCTGGAAGTAAAACAGAGGACACAAAGGAAGATACAGCTGAGAAGAGTCCTCTTAGGGTCCTCAGAAAACATAAAGGCTGGAACACTTTCACTCCTTAGATAGGTCCAACATTGTTTAGATCACTATAGGGAGCAGTGTGTGCCCAAAAGTATGGAACACAGCTTAACCAGGGAGCAATTCATGGAGGCTAACAGCTAGCTATATGAGATGCCAGTAGAGCCAGACTAGCAAGAAACCTAATGGGGGAAATCAGGGAAAGTGACAACCAAAGATGACCCAATTAAAGATACAGTCACTTTTGGTGATGGAGAATGCATACCCATGGCCTTACTACACAATAAGCAGCATCAGAGGCTGCACACTACAAGCAGAGAGACTCCACTGTGTTGCCCAGCCAACATGGAAACAACTAAACATTCTGAAGTGACAACCAGCCCTAGAAATGGGAGGGAATTATTATCTAGAGGTGCAATAATATCTGATCTAAAGTGTCCATTTTCAACAGTAAGAACAAAATACCAGACATATAAAGACCCAGGTAAATGTGATCATTAAAAATGTAAAGAAAATGAGACAATAGAAACTATCCTTTGAAGACACCTATGTTGGATTTAGCAGACAAAAACTTTGAAGTAGCTTTTGTGAATATTGTGAATACCAGTATGTTGAAATTACTAAAGGAAATCATGTTTAAAGAACAGCAGGAAGGTCTGATGACTATATCTCACAAAATACAAAGTATGAACAAAGAGGTGGAATTTATGAAGAACAAATTAAAATTATAGTGTTCAAAAGCACAATGAACACAAGAAATCCAATAGCGGAACTCAGCAGAAGATTTGAACGAACAGAGTCCGTGAACTTCAAGACATCATTAAAGATGATACAATCTGAAGATAAAAGAGTAAAGACAAATTCACAGAGCATCAGAGAAATGATGGGACACCATGAACTGTATCAGTATATGCATTGTGTATCAGAAGGAAGAAGCAGGAGCAGAAAAAAGTATTCAAAGAAATGACTGAAGCTTTCTCAAATTTGATAAAATTATTAGACTATATATCTAGCCATCTCAATAAACTTCAGTAGGATAAAGTCAAAGAAGTCCACACTAATGCACATTACAGTAAAGACAAAAAAATCGTGCAAGTCACCCAAAAAGGTATTTGGAAGTATGCCCTTTGGGAAGTGAGCAGATCCTGAGGCTGAGCCTCAGGAATGGGAGTAGTGCCCTTCTATCCAGAGATGAGAGAGATTCCTTCTCTCTCAGATGGCTGGCACACGGCCATCTGCAAACCCAAAAGCGGCCTTCACCAGACACCAGATCTGCCAGCACTTTGATGTTGGCCTCCCAACTTCCATAACTATGAGAAATAAATGTTGCTTATGTAGACCACCCAGTTTATGGTGTATCTGTTACAGTAGCCTGAACTAAGACAACCATCTGTAAAAGGCCCACAGTTAACAGTGAAGACTGATACCATCTCTTCCAAGATCCCAAATAAGAGAAGGATTTGCATCTGTGCCACTTAACATGCGGCACTGTGCTTAGGCGGGAAATGAAACAGAGGACATCTAGATTGGAAAAGAAGAATTAAATGATCTCTTTCTTAGATGACATGATCTTATACATTTTAAAAATTTAAGGAATCAATTAAAAGCTATTACACCTAATTTAAGTTCAACAAGTTTTCAGGATACAGGGTATACAAAAATCAAGTGTATTTTAATGATGAATAATCCAGAAATGAAGAAAACAGTGCCATTTTCAGTAGCCTCAAAAAGAATAAAATGCTTTGGAATAAAATTTACCAAAGGTTTGCAAATACTGAAAACTACAAAATAGCATTGAAAGAAAGAAAGGCTTAGATGAAAATAAAGATACTCTGTGTTCATGGATTGGAATACTTAATATTGTTAAAGTTGTAGGACTCACCAACTTGATCTACAGATTCCACCTGCTTTTTGTAGAAATGGACAGGCTGATTCTATCTCTCATATGGAAATGTCAGTTTCTGGCATGGAAATGACTCATTTTCTAGGCTATCCCCACAACCCAGAATAGACAAAACAATCTTAACAAAGAGTGAAGTTGGAGGACTTTTGCTTATGCGTTTCAAAACTTACTATAAACTTACAGTAATTGAGATGGGGTGGTATTGGCATAAGGGCAGACATATTGGTCAATAGAGTAGAGTAAAATTAAGTCTAGAAGTAGACCTTCATATTTAGGGTCAACTGATTTTGGCAAAGGTTTCAAAACAATGTAATGGGGAAAAAATAGCCATTTCAACAAATGGTGCTTGGACAACTGGATATTTATGTGCAGCAGAGAGAATTTGTCTCTTTCAAAACACAATACACAAAAGTTAATGTAATGTAGACCATAAACCTAAATGTGAGAGCTCAAATTGCAAAACTGTTAAAAACAAAGGTAAGAGTAAATGTTCCTAATGTTTGGTGCAGTAAAGCATTCTGAAGGTGTAACAAAAAGCTCAAGCGGCAAAAGAAACGGTAGATAAATTAGACTTAATCAATTTTAAAACTTTTGGGCTTCAAAGAACATTCTGAAGAACATGAAAAGAGCCTAGATAGTAGATATTGGTGGAAATTTTTGCATATTATAAATTTACATTACTTGTATGTAGAACAGGTAAAGAACTCTTACAACTCAACAGTTAAAAAGACAGTCTAAGAATGGGCAAAGGTTTGAGATACTTCTCAAAATCAGAGATTTACTAATGGCCAACAGATACTGGGAAAAATGCTCAGTGTCATTAAGCAGTGGGAGAATGAAATTCAAATCCACAGTCGTAAACTACTTCACATGCACTAAAATGGCTGTGGTCAGAAAGACGGTGAATTACTATGGGGTGCAAGGAGTTGGAGTCCTTTCATGTTGTCAGTGGGAATGTAAATGGTGTGGCCACCTGAGGAAGCATATTGGGAGCTCCTCAGATAGCTAAACATAGGTGTACCAAGTGAACAGAAGCTCAATTTCTACTGGAGTGTAATAAAGACAAGTGAAAATAAATCTCCACACAAAATTATTATACATGAATATTAATAACGGTATCACAATAGCAGAAAAGTGGAAACTGCTCAAATGTCTATTGAGTAATGTGTACACAGGTAAATATGGAATAGTCTTACAAAGGAATAAAATTCAGAAAAAAAAATATTAAGCACTGATGCAGGCTAAAACATCGTTGAAACTTGAAAGCAATTAGCAGAAGAAGCCAATTACAAAGACCACAGATTGTATTCTACTTATATGCAGTGCCTAGAATAGAAAAATCTACAGAGATAGGATGTAAGGAGTTGCATGGAGCTAGGGGCAGGGA